ACACACACACACACACACACACTGGAATTGTATGCCTCCATCAGAAAGAATGACATCACCCCATTCATTAGGAAATAGAAGGACTTGGAAAAAATTATATTGTTTTTGTTTTTTTTTCTTGGTCGTGGGGCTTGAACTCTGGGCCTAGGCACTGTCCCTCAGCTCTTCAGCTCAAGGCGACCGCTCTACCACTTGAGCTACAGCGTCACTTCCTGGAAAAAATTATATTAAGTGAAGTAAGCCAAGCCCAAAGAAACATAGGTCTCATGGTTTCCCTTATTTGCAATAACTAGTACATGTCTAGGACAAGCAAAAAAGGTCAAAAGCTATGTACGTATGACCATATAAGATGATGTTAAGCGAAATGGACCCCAAGAAAGAGACACAAGTGTTTTTTTTTCTTTCTTGCTATTGTTTTTAATGTACTTATAATGCACTAGTGATTCTTTTCTTTTTTATGTTCTTCCCCCACAGTATAACCCGTTTTCACTGAATCTGATTCCACCCCTGTTTTCATTGTATCTGATTCCCATATCCTGCATCTTGTATATACATTTTTATAATTTGGGGAGGGGAAGGGATATAACAAAATGCTTAAATAAGGACACAGGTTGACCCACTGTAACAATGAGATGTACAAGACACTATGTTGAAAACGAACTTTACAATTTGGGGGCGGGATGGGGAGGGCAGAGTTTGGGAGGTGGGGAGAAAAGGGATGGTAGGGGAAAAACAAAGGAGGAGATAACAATGCTCCATAGGAAATGTACTCATTACCCTACTGTAACCCCTCTATACAGTATTTTTACAATAAAAAATATATATGAAAAAAGAAAAATGTGCTGCCAAACACTGGTGGCTCATGCCTGTAATCCTAGCTACTCAGAAAGCTTGAGATCTGAGGACTGCAGTTTGAAGCCAGCCTGGGCAGGAACGTCCATAAGACTCTTATTTCCAATTAGCCACCAGAAAACCAAAAGTGCATCTGTGGCTCAAAGCGGCAGAGTACCCTCAAGCAAAAGAACACAAGGATAGTGCCCAGGTCCTGAGTTCAAGCCCCAAGATTGAATAAAAAACAAAAACAAAAAAGGAAAAAGTACCTTTTAATGTTAACTTAAAGTTAACTTAAAGTTAATGTTAACTTAAAACTTTTAATGTTAACATTAATTTATATGGCAGAGCTGTTACATAAAATGCTGGTTTCAGTGGTAAGGAGAATGACAGTATTTAAGCATTTAAGGATTTGGAAGTTATTATTCCTCATGTGCTAGTCCTCGGAGAACTTTAGTAAAGCCACCCTATCTTTGCCTTTGGTTTGATTTTTATTTTTGGCTCCTTACCTATGCATGTAATAGATAGCAATTATGAAAAGCAATGGATTTCATTACATTCAAACAATAAACTTTGATACATGACATTTTATAACAATAAAATTGACATATCCGCCGGGCGCTGGTGGCTCACGCCTGTAATCCTAGCTACTCAGGAGGCTGAGATCTGAGGATCGCGGTTCAAAGTCAGCCCGGGCAGGAGAGACCGTGAGACTCCTATCTCCAATAAACCACCAGAAAACGGAAGTGGCGCTGTAGCTCAAGTGGTAGAGCGCTCTCCTTGAGCTGAAGAGCTGAGGGACAGCACCCAGGCCCAGAGTTCAAGCCCCACGACCGACAAAAAAAAAAAAAAAATTGACATATCCAATTAGTACAGTTATTACCACCTTTATCTCCAACAGGTTATTTAAATCTTTCCAGATGGAAGGACTCTCTATCTTTTAAACAATAACTTTCTGTCCTGTCTCAAACAGTTCTACTTTCTCTGTTTTTACTACTCAAGTTACCTCACGTTCATGAAATCATAAGACTCTTTGCCCTTTTGTGCTTGATTTATTTTACTTAGCTTAATCTCTTCAAGATTCATTCATATTGTAGCAAGTTAGCATTTCTCTATTTCAAACACTAAATAAATTCAAGCAATTCAGGAAGCTGAGCTCTTTAGATTCCAGGTTGAAAGCCAGCCCAGGCAAAAAAGTTTGTGAGACTCATTTCCAATAAAACGAAGAAGAAAAAGGAGAATAAGAAGGAGAAGGAGAGAGGAGAGAGGAGGAGGAGGAGGAGGAGGAAGAAGAGAGGAGAGGGAAGAGGAGGAGGAAGAGGAGGAAGAAAGAAGTAGTGGAGCTATGGCTCAACTGATAAGAATGCTAGATGAAGAGAGGGGGAGGGAGAGGGGAAAGGAAGAGGAAGAGAGAGAGAGAGAGAGAGAGAGAGAGAGAGAGAGATCACCTGAGGATCACAGCAGAAACGGAACTCTAAGTATGAATCATCCAGGGACAGTACCCAGACCCACAGTGCAAATCCAACGAAGAAAGGAGGGAAGGGGAAGAGAAGGAAGGGGGAAGAAGATGATGATTTGGGAACTGGGCCACGGGTGGCTAATGCCTATAATCCTAGCTAATCAGGAGGAGATTTGAGGATCAAGGTTCAAAACTAGACCAGGCAAGAAATTTGATGAGACTCTCATCTCCAATCAATTAACAACCAAAAAACTCAATGAATCTGTGGCGCCATTAGAGGTAGAGCACTCATCTTGGGCAAAAAAGCTCAGAGACAGAACACAGGCCAAGTTCAAGCCTTAGTACTGGCACAAATTATTATTATTGTTGTTGTTGTTTGGGCAAGGGAATGTAGCTCTCTTACAATGATTACCTTTAGACTCAAGCAGGTTCAAGGTCCAAAACAAAGAACCCCATAATCTGAATAACAGATTTGTACTAATGTACTAGTACTGAAGGAATCCTATGATGAAACACACCATGAATTTTTTTTTTTTTTTTGGTCCGGTTGTGGGGCCTGAACTCTAGGCCTGGGCACTGTCCCTCAGCTCTTCAGCTCAAGGCTAGCGCTCTACCACTTGAGCCACAGCGCTACTTCCGGTTTTTTTCTTTTTTGCTTATGTGGTGCTGAGGAATCGAACCCAGGGCCTCATGCATGCAAGGCAAGCGCTCTACCACTGAGCCACCTTCCCAGCCCCACACCATGAAATTTTAACTATTCTCAGCTTCATCTATTGGAAATAATCTTTCTTGTCCACATGAAGAATTTCTGCTTATCTTCCTCAAAATTAACCCACATGCTATCTCCTGTAGTTTTTCCCAAATTTCCCAGGCAAAACTCTCTTCCAAGAATCGAAAGCACGGAGTTGACACTGACATAAAGCAGCCCTCACACTGCATTACAGGAAGTTCCACAAGCAGGTCCCCTCCATTTATTTGGACTCACTGACTAGCAAAGTCATGGCACTAAAGCACACAAATATTTGATTAACTGAACCATTCTACATTTTTAGGACTGGGAAGGACCAAGGAAATCAAGATTTCTTTCCAGATGCAACAGTGACACTCAAAGACTTACTTAATCAAGGCATAGAGAAAGTGGCTGTGACAGGTTTCTTTTCCCAATAATATTTATAAGAACTGGACCATGTGTGATTCACTATTCCTATTTGGTTTACTCAGCATGGAACTGGAGTACACAGTAATTCATCAAATGTTTCCTTTATTAAACACTATAAATGATAACTAATTAATGTTGAGAATCCAGACAAAAGTTAAAACTTTACACTAATCATGTATCAATTTCCAATTGCAAGAAAAAAAATCTAAGAAATAAGAAACATGATTCTGTAAGATACTATATTAGGAAAGTTGTATATGTCAAAGATTTATTCTTGTTATCTCCTATTTATATATTCAAAGTGAAATCTATGAATGAGATATTAATACTCACAGCATACCAATACCACCAAAAATTTATACGGTGGAAACTACATCAAACTCTAGGTTCATATTTTGAGGAAGTTCAAGTTTAGTAGGCCAAAGCCACACACACCACTATTTGCTGCCATGACAGAGAGGTCCTAAGGAGCATGACTACTTGTGGGCGTAAAATCCACGTAAAGTACTTGGATATCATCAGTGAGGAAACGAGTGAGACAGGGTCAGTCCGCAATGAACAAATGTCAGAAGAAACAAGCACCAGCCTTTCCAGCTGTTAGGATTAGTGGAAGACAGAAAGAATGCTTTCAGGAAATCCCTAAGCAAGTTCCTAGAATTCTCTGGCAACCACTGCAAACAAGGGCCATACGGCCACGAAAGACAAGGAAACCACGGCGGACCCCGTGGAATATGTTTACTGAAGGGGAAAAGCCCGTGGGGCCGGACGAACACAGCTAAGCACAAAGGTGAAAATGCAACATTTGGGCGGGTCCCAGCGCCACCACCTCGCAGACTCAGGCGCTCCGTTCGCCCCCAACCTGGCCATTCGCTCAGACCTGACACAGGCTCCCAGGTGGCCGATTCCACTTAAGAGGCCTTCATAGGCACCCAGAACCTCCTGGCTCAGCCACCCCCCTTCAGAGGAGCCGCCTGATCAATCGCCGCAGCCAGGAGCCGCCGCCCACCCGGGCCCGGAGCAACCAGCTTGCGGCCTTCTTCGTTCCGACTCCTACCCTGCAGGCCAACCAGGGTGGTTCTAGCCCCGATAAGGCTGCGGGCCCCCTATACTCAGTCCGCGGGTCTTTGGGCCGGTGGGAAAAAGCAAGGACTGCGAGAAGGGTCGGCCTGGAGCCCACCACCCCCACATCACTCACCATGGCGACTCCACTGAGCCAGCAGCCAGCAGCCCCGAACGCCGCGGAGAGCCTCCCCCGGTCAGGTGACGCTGCGGCCCCTCCAAGCCCCGCCCCTCCTAGGCCCGCCTCCACGCTCTGCACGTGATTCGTGGATTGGACGGTTTCTAGGAATCCAAATCTCGCGTGTTTATTGGCTCTTGGCCCTTCACGCTAGGCTGACGGGCCGAGGCGCCAGTTAGTCTATTCATAGAATGTGGGTGTGAGCCGGAGGGATGCAGGGCCGCAATTGGTATTCTTCTGCCGAGCAGAAAGGCTGAGAAAATGGTGTTTAGCGAGTTTGTTTTGAAGGAAGGAATAAAAAGAGAAGCTGTCTACAAGGTCCACGGTATTCACCCAGGATACCGCACTGGTTCATGCGCGTGCGCGTAGGAAAGACTACGCTTGGTGTAAGGGACAGCCTCTTTGTCGCGTTTCAACCAATCTAATTGCGCCAGGGGTTGGCCCTGACGCTCACTGGCCAGCGCTGCTACCGCGTTGGGTTTCGTCCCACGGTAACTGTGCGCGGGAGTCGTTTTGGTTGGCGCCATGGGATCGGGACTGATCCCGTGCTTAGCCCCGCGCCTAGGACTTTCGGAACCTGAGGTGCTGAGGTGAGTCCGGGTGTTCTCGCCGAGAGAGAGACCCATGCCTTACGGTCCGGGTCCTTCTCAGGAGTCCTTCCCGCGCCACTGTTGGTGCTGAACAAGGAGCGCCGGGATGAGGGAAACTTGGGGCCTACTTCGAGAAAAAAAACTCGCCTGTGATCCTCCAATCGCAGCCTCCTGAGTAGCTCGGATTCCAGGCGTGAGCCACGGAACCCTGGCTGAGGGGCTTGGTTTTTGGAGGTACTGAACTTACTTTTGCCAGAAAGCACTCTGTTAGGTATATGGATGTCTGGTGTCAGAGCTGTGGTCCTGTCTTTGAGGATTTCCTCTCCCCAAAGAATATGAGTTACTTTCCCAGCCCCAAATAAACTTGCACAGTAATTGGTTCCAGGATGAAATCCACCAATGTTTACCTAGGTCAGACAAAGACAAACTTTTGAAACAGTTTTAGTGAATGCATTGCCCTTATAAACCAGGAAAGCAGAAGAGTACCTGCGACTATCCCAGGTGAAATGTATCAGTCTGTCTGCACATACTACAGAAACCAGCAATGCAGTCATGTGCCTAGACCTTGCAGCTTCCTATATGAAGTACCCCTTGGACAGGGTAAGTACATCCCATTTAGTGTCCAAATAATCTTATGCAACACTAAAGCTTAACAATTGCATTTTAATTTTTAGTTGGACAAGACTTGGTCAAAACTCTTAGTTTTTAAGCTTTTCCTGTATGCCCTGAGTTATTCTAAATAAACTTCAGAGTCATTTTATCCAGTTAGGGAAAAAAATGCAGTGTGTTTATTTAGTTACTCTGATTCTCTCTTTCTTAATGAAGTTCATCTTTCATGCTGCTATTATATACTTTTGTGGGGAGGATGAAGGGTATCAGTACTGGGGCTTGAATTAGCTTTTTCCACTCAAGGCTTCCATTCTACCACTTTAGCCACAGTTCCACTTCAGCTTTTTGCTGGTTAGTTGGAGATGAGAGTCGCATGGACTTTCCTGCCTGGGCTGGCTTTGAACTATAGTCCTCAAATCTGAGCCTCCCAAGTAGCTATGGAGCTACCAGCATGATCAGCCCCTGGTTATAGCATTATACTTCTAAAGCACATATTTTAAAATGTGTGCATATTTTTAGTTTTTGTTTTTTGTCAGTTGTGGGGCTTGAACTCAGGCCCTGGACACTGTCCCTGCTCAAGGCTCATGCTCTACCACTTTGAGCTACAGCACCACTTCCGGTTTTTGAGTGGTTCATTGAAGAAGAGTCTCTTGGGGACTTTTCTGCCTGAGCTGGCTTCAAACCTCAGTCCTCAGATCTCAACCTCCTGAGCAGCTAGGATTACAGGTGTTAGTCATCAGCACCCAGTTTTCATGTTTCTTTTATCCTGGTTGCAAAATAGTTGAGAAAAACAGCTTTGGAGTTAGGAAGTTTCACGTGTTGAGAAACCAATTCTTATCACCATTGATAGCTCTATGAGCCTTTGATCTATGAAATGGACATGAGAATATCCATTTCATATACTATATATAACACAGCACAGTATTTTTGTCATAATGAATATACTCTTAAATGGTCTGGTTTTTTTCTTTAAAAAAATACTCTCTTCAACTCTGACTTCAAACTATGATGCTTGGTCAACACATTTCTGTACTTTAATAACTTATGGCTTTGCTAATTAATAACTTCCCATTCTTTTCCTAGAATGTTCTGCAAGTTGTCTTACATCATCCTTCGTATCCATTGATTTTGAAGCTTTCTATTTTAACTCTTCTAGTTAGGATTCATTTCCCACATGGTGGATCCTTATGTTTGTCTCCTTGATTAATCCTCCTCTCCCTTTGCTATCTCTACTTCACCCTCACTTTATTCCCATTACCTCCCTCATTGTTTTCTCAATAATTTTCACATTGACACTGCTGAAAAACAAGTAATCATATGTGTATCTTTCCTATTGTTTTTATTCTAACAGCTTGGACATGTTAATACTAAAATTATCTTTGTATACATATACCTGTCTCTAAAGAATGAGCTCCTAGAAAGCAAAAGTCTTCTTGATATGATTACTGATTTTTTTTACTGATTTTTTTTTTGGGGGGGGGGAGTTGTTGGTTTGTTTTTGCCAGTCCTGGGGCTTGAACTCACAGGGCCTGGACACTGTCCCTGAGCCTCTCTGTGCTCAAGGCTAGTACTCTACCACTTGAGAACAGCACCACTTCCAGCCTTTTTCTGTTTATGTGGTACTGAGGAATTGAACCCATGGCTTCATTCATTCTACACAAGCACTCTACCACTAAGCCACATTCCCAGACTAGGTTTTTTTCTTAAATGAAGCTAAGCCTTTGTGTATAGAGTCATTTGTCACAGAATTAATTTTGAATACCTGATGCTACTTACTCTATATATATTCTATATAATATATAGAACTTATATGTGCTTTTTCTTTCAAAGGCTTATTTAATTAAACTTTCTGGTTTGAACAAGAAGATGTACCAGAGCTATCTTAAATCTTTTGAGTGTTTACTGGGCCTGAACTCAAATATTGGAATAAGAGACCTCAGTGTACAGTTTAGCTGTACAGAAGCAGTGAACATGGCTTCAAAGATTCTACAAAGGTATGAGCATACTGAAACTTAAAGCCCATATTGATAAATAAGCACAACTACCCAGTGATCAATTCTGAGGAACTTCCATTAATCCTTGCTATTTGGGAGGATTATGTTTCTAGACCATTCCAGGCAAAAAATTGGAGAGACTCCATCTCAACAGAAAAAGCTGGTCATTTATATCCCATTTATAACAGGAAATATGAATGGGCACATTTTAAACCAAGGTTGGCTGGACAGAAAACCCTATAGCAAAATAACTAGAGCAAAAAGATCTGGAGGCATGCCTCAACCTGCTTAGCAACTCCACTAATGCAACAAATAAATAATTAAGATGCTAAAGTGACAAAAAGACTTATGTCATAAACATTGTTAGTTCTGTTTTGTATTTTCAGCCACGTTTGAAATGTTTTCTTACAAATAATTTTCCAAACACTAATCTGCTCTAGCTATGAAGCCAGTCTTCCCCAGACACAGCAAGTAGATCTTGACTTATCCAGGCCTCTGTTCACCACTGCTGCACTACTTTCAGCATGCAAGTAAGTTCTCAATTTTTAAGTGACTCTTTCATTCTCATAGAACACTGCCAATTAGTTGATTTCAACACAGAGCATATTTTCCCTTACAGATAACACAAGGAATAGTAGCCAAGTGGCCAGATTCTCTGTTTATCCCACAGTGTAGCTGACAGTTGGAACTAGTGTTGCCAGAAATTCATTTGCTAAGTGGCAGGCCATATATGTAAGCTGGGTTTCTAATTTCAAAGTTTGCTTTTCATGAGTGATAAAGTCTCTCAGAACTGTGGTCATATGTGATTTTTAATTTTTTTTTTTTTTTTTTTTTGTCGGTTGTGGGGCTTGAACTCTGGGCCTGGGCGCTGTCCCTCAGCTCTTCAGCTCAAGGCTAGCGCTCTACCACTTGAGCCACAGCGCCACTTCCGGTTTTCTAGTGGTTTATTGGAGATAAGAGTCTCACGGTCTCTCCTGCCCGGGCTGGCTTTGAACCGCAGTCCTCAGATCTCAGCCTCCTGAGTAGCTAGGATTACAGGCGTGAGCCACCAGCGCCCGGCTTTAATTTTTTTTTTTTTTAGTCAGTCGTGGGGCTTGAACTCTGGGCCTGGGGCACTGTCCCTCAGCTCTTCAGCTCAAGGCTAGTGTTCTACCACTTGAGTCAGATCACCACTTCTGGTTTTCTGGTGTTAATTGGAGATAAGAGTCTCACAGACTTTCCTGCCCAGGCTAGCTTTGAACCACAATCCTCAAATCTTGGCCTCCTGAGTAGCTAAGATTACAGGCATGAGCCACTGGCACCCAGCGATTTTTAATTATTTTTTAAATACAATTGGGGCTGGGAAGGTGGCTCAGTGGTAGAGCGCTTGCCTTGCATGCATGAGGCCCTGGGTTCGATTCCTCAGCACCACATAAGCAAGGGGAAAAAAGCCCGAAGTGGCATTGTGGCTCAAGTGGTAGAGTGCTAGCCTTGAGCTGAAGAGCTGAGGGACAGCGCCCAGGCCCAGAGTTCAGGCCCACGACTGGACACCCCCCCCCCCCCCAAAAAAAAAAAATTAAATAATTACAACTGCTCTTGAGTTTATCAACCATTCTGTAATATCTGTGTCTATGCTGAGTTATTGTCCTGGAAATGTTAGTAATTGTTGATATCTTTGCCTAAGTTGTCTTGTTTAATTTTGCCAGATACCTTCCTGGGGGTTGGAGAATATACTTGGTTATTTTAAGAATAGGTTTCTCACTACCTATCTGCTAATTTAAGGGTGTTTTGGTTCTGCTAGCTACAAACCTAGGAGTGATTGTCATTTATAGAAAATGTCCCTTTAGGGGCTGGGAAGATGGCTCAGTGGCAGAGTGCTTGCCTTACATGCATGAAGCCCTGGGTTCCATTCTTTAACACCACATAAGCAGAAAAAGCCAGAAGTGGAACTATGGCTCAAGTGGTAGAGCACTAGCCTTGAGCTGAAGAGCTGAGGGACAGCGCCCAGGTCCAGAGTTTAGGCCCCATGACTGACAAAAAAAGAAAAAAGAAAATGCCCCTTTAGGGCTGGGAATGTGGCTTAGTTGTAGAATGCTTGCCTAAGCACACATGAAGCCCTGGGTTCAGTTGCTCAATACCACATAAACAGAAAAGGCCAAAAGTGGCGCTGTGGCTCAAGTGGTAGAGTGCTACCCTTGAGCAAAAGAAACTCAGGGACAGTGCCTAGACCCTCAGGCTCAAGCCCCAGGACTGGGAAAAAAAAAAAAATCCCTTGAATTCAATGAAGATACATACATATAGTTAATGTGGCTGTTAATACAGAAATCAGTGAAAATAGTTTAAATAGCCCCACTTTTGAAACTATAGTACACCAAGCAAGAAAGGTCTGAACATGTCTATTATCCTGAATGAGAAATCTCTTTTTTTTTTTAATTAGTAGTTGCTGTAGAGGATTATTAGTGGGAGGGGTAAGAGGTTGTAATTCTCCTGTAATATAAATACAAGCATCATGTATTAAGTTGTTTTAAAGATACTATGATTTTCATTCTACAAATTACATCAGAAGTTTATTAAGTAGTTGAGGAGGCATGAAGCTCCAATAGGGATGAGGAACTTTTATGCTCCAAGGACCATGTGGATAATTATAACATCATTCACAGGCCATACAAAATAATTAATACAGGCAGGCAGCCACAGGCCACCGACAAGAAGCATATGTCTATCTTGTCATTTACTGAATGATTGGGGCTTGGGGGGCAGGGTGTGTGAACAATAGGCCAAACATTCCCCACCCCTGCTACAGCAAATATCTATGTACCCCATTTGTTACAAAGTAGATTCTATGTGCATTTTAACTCTCAGTTTACTAAATAAAGCTTTAGAAGATAAATTCCCATGGGTCTAGCTAATGACATGGTAAAAAGTTGAGGGTGTTAACAAATCATAGGCAAAAGAAACTAAGTTTATCATCTGGTTTGCAAAAAAAAAACAACAAAACAAAACAAAAAAACTATACTGGTCCTGAACAAAGCATTGTGTGAAATTCTTTTGTAGGATTCTAAAGCTGAAAGTGGATAAAAACAAAATGGCAGCCACTTCGGGTGTAAAGAAAGCTATATTTGATCGACTGTGTAAACAGTTAGAGAAGATTGGACAGCAGATGGACAGTGAGTATTAATGTATTATTGGAGTATTAATGTCTTATTAGAAAATGTGAATTTATTGGTAAGTCATACTTTTGTGTGTATGTGTGTGTGTGTGTGGTCTTGGGGCTTGAACTCCAGGCATAGGTGCTGTCCCTAAGATTTTTTTTTTAACCAGTCCTGGAGCTTGAACTCAGGGCCTAGGCACTGTCCCTAAGCTTCTTTTTGCTCAAGGCTAGCACTCTACCACTTGAACTACAGCTCCTCTTCTGGCTTTTCTTTGTTTATGTTGTAATAAGGAATTGAACCCAGGGATTCATGCATGCCAGGCAAACACTCTACTACTAAGCCACATTCCCAGCCTAAGCCTAAGATTTTTGCTCAAGGCTAGTGCTCTACTACTTCCAGCCTTTTAATGGTTAATTGGAAATAAGAGTCTCATGGACTTTCCTGATTGGGGGAGCTGGCTTTGAACTTCAGTGTTCAAATCTTAGCCTCCTTAGTAGCTAGGTTTACAGGTTTGGTTTATTAGCCTAGCTACTCTGGAGGCTGAGACCTGAAGATTGAGGTTCAAAGCCAGCCCCCCACACAGGAAAGTTTGTGAGACTCTTATCTTCAATAAACTACTCAAAACTGCCAGAAGTGATGATGTGGCTTATGTGGTAAACGGAGGGCTTTACTTGAACAAAAGATGCTGGCTGGGAAGGTGGCTCAGTGGTAGAGCGCCTGCCTTGCATGCCTGAGGCCCTGGGTTCAATTCCTCAGCACCACATAAGCAAAAAGAAAAGAGCCAGAAGTGGAGCTGTGGCTCAAGTGGTAGAGCGCTAGCCTTGAGCTGAAGAGCTGAGGAACAGTGCCCAGGCCTAGAGTTCAGGCCCCACAACCAGACCCCCCCCCAAAAAAAAAAAAAAAAGAAAGCTGCTCAGAGACAGCACCCAGGTTCAGAGTTCAAATCCCAGGACCAGCAAAAAAAATAAAAAAGGCATAAGCAATTGACACCCAACAAAAGTATTTTCAAGCTGGAAAATGCTGCTTTAGTTAGAAAAATGCTTTCTCTTTTTTTTTTCAAGTAAAGTAGTTTAATAACTTAAAATGCCTGTGGTTCCATGAGTTCATGCCCAGAAAAATGGATTCTCTGTTAATATACTCCAATATTCACATACATACATAAGCTAAATTAGAACTGATTCTAAGACTGATAAAAGAAACAGCAAGAAAAGAGAAGGGCACATTTATCTTCTCTTAGACATTGGTCCATAACTTTTGTGATCCAAAATATGCCCAAATATTGGAATTGTGAACAGGAGAAAAAAAAATTGACAACACTTCTTTTTTTAAAGAGGCACCTGGAGACTTAGGTAGTCCACCAAGGAAGAAAAAGAAGATGGTTGAACCACTAGCTACGGGTAAGACTTATAATATACAGATATTGAGATTAATGTAGTGTAATTAATGAATATTCTTGTATTGTTCGAGTAACTCTTCTCATAAGAGCCAGATTTAGAGTAAATCCTGATCATTATTCACTTTATAAACAATTATTAATGGAAGTAACAGAACTGTGATTAAGAATATGTCCTAAAGCCAGGGGTTGGGAAGGTGGCTCACTGGTAGAGTGCTTGCCTTGCATGCATGAGGCCCTGGGTTCGATTCCTCAGCACCACATAAACAAAAAGAAAAAAGCCGGAAGTGGCGCTGTGGCTCAAGTGGTAGAACGCTAGACTTGAGCTGAAGAGTTGAGGGACAGTGCCCAGGCCCAGAGTTCAGGCCCTAGGACCGGACCCCCCCTCCCCCCCCCCAAAAAAAATGTCTAAAGCCAGGTGCTGGTGGCTTACACTTGTAACCTAGCTACTATGGAGGCTGAGATTTGAGGATCATGGTTCAAATCCAGCCCAGCAGGAAAGTCCATTAAACCTTTATCTCCAGTTAACCACTAGAAAAGTTGAAGTGGTACTGTGGCTCAAAGTGGCAGAATCCCAGCCTTGAGTGAAAAAGCTCAGGGACAGAGCCCAGGCCCTGAGTTCAAGTCCCATGACCAGAAAAAAAAAAAAAAAGAATATGTCTGAAGCCAAACTGCCAGGGTTCAAATCATGATTTGACACTGTTAAAAGCTTCAGACAAGCTGAGTGCTGTTAGCTAATGCCTAGCTAGTCCTAGCTACTCAGAAGCTATTCTGAGGATGAAAGTTCTAAGCTAGTCCAAGCAAACACATCTTGGAGACTGATTTCCAATTAAGTGGCAAGAGCCAAATGTGGAAGTTTGTAGCAGGTGGCAGTAGCCTTGAGTGAAAAATCTTAAGGAAAAAAAGAAAAGAAAAGAAAAATCTTAAGGAGAGTTTAAGGCCCTGAATTCAAGCCCTAGTACTGGCACCAAATAAAGTTTTTAGACAAATTTAACAGAGTGTTTTGGAGCAAGGAACAACTCAGAAGATCTGAGGTTCACAGTTCAAAGTCAGCCTGGGTAGGTAAGTATATGAGACTCTTTATCTTCAGTTAACCACCAAAAAGCCATAAGTAGAAGTGTGGCCTTAAGTGAAAAAGCTAAAGGAAGCCCAGTGTCCCTGGCTCACACCCATAATCCTACCTACTCAGGAGGCTGAGATCTGAAGGATCATGGTTTGATGCCAACCCAGGCAGGAAAGTCTATGAGAGTCTTATCTCCAGTTAACCACCAAAAAAAATGTTGGGCTACAGCTCAAAACTCTAGAGAATTAGCCTTGAAAGAAAAAGCTCAGGCACATGCCTAAGCCCCGAGTTCAAACTCCATGACTGACAGAAAGAAAAGAAGGAAAGCACCCAGCTCTAAATTCAATCCAGTATTTTCTCTCCCTCCCTCTCTCTGTCTTTCTCTTCGCTTCACTTCTCTTCCCTTGCCTCTCACAGTCTCACATGCATACATGCGTGTACTCACAAAATTACACAGCATTCAAATTTACAGAGCTCATCCCAGGAGTTTTAAATGGGTGCTTTCATAGATTAAATTTGGAAATAAACCTAGCTAATATATAAACCTGGAAACAAACCTGGCTAATGTCTTGTTATTTGCCTTACTTAGGCATTCTTGCAGGTAGATCACTAATTGTAACCAGTTGGCTAGATGGCTGATTGTGACTGGCTGGTGGTTTTTTTATTAGTTATTAAGAAATATCTAAAATTCCAGTTTGTTTAAAAAAAAAAAAAGGTCTAGTTATAAAGACAGTCTCAGGCCATGGGCCTTGAACTCAGGGCCTGGGTATTGTCTCTAAGCTTTTTCTACCAAGGCTAGCACTCTACCCTTTGAGCCACAATGCCACTTTGGATTTTCTGGTGGTTAACTGGCAACAAGAGTCATGGACATTTCCTACCCGGGCTGGCTTCAGACTTCAATCTTCAGATCTCAACTTTCTGAGTGGCTAGGATTACAGGCATGAGCAACCAGTGCCCAACCTAAACTACTTTTTATTGATTTTAACAAGACCTAGGGGCTGGGAAGGTGGCTCAATGGTAGAATGCTTGCCTTGCATGCATGAAGCCCTGGGTTCCATTCCTCAGCCCCCACATAAGCAGAAAAAGTCGGAAGTGGTGCTGTGTGGCTCAAGTGGTAGAGTGCTAGCTCTGAGTTAAAGAGTTGAGGGACAGCACCCAGGCCCAGAGTTCAGGGCCACGACCAAAAAAAAAATTGCCGGGCGCTGGTGGCTCACGCCTGTAATCCTAGCTACTCAGGAGGCTGAGATCTGAGGATCGAGGTTCAAAGCCAGCCAGGAAAGTCCATGAAATTCTTTATCTCCAATAAACCACCAGAAAACCGGAAGTGGCATTGTAGCTCAAGTGGTAGAACACTAGCCTTGAGCTGAAGAGCTGAGGGACAGCATTCAGGCCCAGAGTTCAAGCCCCACAACTGACAAAAAGAAAAAGAAAATAACAATTTCTGTGAGCCCCAATTTGCTAATCTACAAAATGTGGTAAATACACCACACTTCATAAGATTGTGGTGAGAGTTAAGTAAATACTGTTTAAAGTTCAGCATGAAAAAAATATACTTGGAGTATGATGGGAAGAGAAAATGAAAACCGGTATTTCTACATTTCAGCATTGTGTTCTCTCTTTACAACTGAAATTGATACTTTAAATAAGCTTACTTCTTTTTTTTGGGGGGGGGGGTCTGGTCGTGGGGCTTGAACTCTGGGTCTGAGCGCTGTCCCTCATCTCTTCAGCTCAAGGCTGGCGCTCTACTACTTGAGCCACAGCACCACTTCGGGCTTTTTTTTCTTTTTGCTTATGTGGTACTGAGGAATCGAACCCAGGGCCTCATGCATGCAAGGCAAGCGCTCTACCACTGAGCCACCTTCCCAACCCCTAAGCTTACCTTTTTAAAATTTCATTTGTAAACGTAAGAATTTTGAAATTACTTTTTATAATTTTCTCATAGAAATAGAGAAGGTAGAAGACATCCAATGTAAACTACAAAAAGATGAAGATCTGACACAAGATTATGATGAATGGAAAAGGAAAATTTTAGAAAATGCTGCCAAGGCTCAAAAGACAACAGCAGAGTGACTTCTGCTTCCAGATTGGTATCTGCTTCTGTTAGGTAGTAAACCGTTCTCCAGAAAGATTTGAGGGCTTTGATGAAATTGGTTTGAACTTTCAGAACAAGGTTGCTCACCATTGCCTTAGTAGCAAAGAAACCAGAACACAGACGAATTCTGGACAGTGGACTGGCTTTTGACATGAGAACATGTGGACTGGCTTTTGACATGAGAACATTACATCAATCACAGTGTCTTACATACTCTTGACTCCACAAGTCTATGCTGGAGTTGCAAGTCATATTTTCTGTTTTAAACTAATGACAATCTGGTTTTATCCTGAATATATATTTTAGGCTGAATGGAATCTTACAGGTTTTACTTACTTTTTTTTAGTAAACTTTTTTGGTTTACCTCAATATATTGCAGTCAAAGCTAGTAATTTTTTTTAATTAAAAATGCATTTTCTGTCAGCTTCAAGGAATCGTTGGGCCAAATCTGTGTCTTCACCAGCAGGAAAAAAAACCCAGGTTTCTGTACATTGAGCTTCAATGCTCACTATACGACAATTCAAATCATACTTTCTGGGTTGAAGACCATACTCAGCCACTCACCACATGTGAAACATTGATCAAAGCAATTCACTTTATGATTCATCTGTGAAATAGTAATAATGATTATTACCTCAGTATAATTTTAAGGAGTGTAAAAGCCAATACATGAAAACCATTTCCTGTGAAAGTAAATACTGTGTAAACATTAAAGTATAGAAATGTTATTTGTGAAATATGGCAGTAAAATCCCTTTAAACACTTTTTAACATATATAGGAATGTAAGATAAGTCTTATCTAACCCATGTGCTGGCAGCTCACCTGTAATCCTATCTACCTAGGAAGGTGAGATCTGAGGATTGCAGTTCAAAGCCAGCCCAGGCAGGAAAACCCATGAGACTCTTATCTCCAATTAACTACAAAAAAAACAGAAATGAACATAATAATAACTACATATATAGTTATTTCTTTTGTTATTTTTATTTATTTATTTATTTTGGTGAGTTGTGGGGCTTGAACTCTGGGCCTAGGTGGTGTCCCTGAGCAAATTAGCTCAAGACTAGCGCTCTACCACTTGAGCCACAATACTCGATTTTCTGGTGGTTAATTGGAGATAAGAATCTCACTGACATTCCTGCCTGGGATGGCTTTGAACCATGGTCTTTAGACCTCAGCCTCCTGAGTAGCTAGCATTATAGACATGAGCCACCAGTGCCCAACACAACATATTTTTTTAAAGAACAACAGAAGTGGAGCTGTGGCTCAAGTAATAGAGCACTAGCCTTGAATGAAAAAACTAAGGGCAGTGTTGAGACCCTGAGTTCAAGCCTCAGTATTGGAACATAAAAGTCTTGTTCAGGCTGGTGGGTACTAAGTAGAAGGGGAAAGGTGAATGGAGAACATAAATATGGGCAAAATACTTTATGTCCATGTGTTAAAATGGAACGTGAAGCTTGTTGAGATGGGTTTGGGAAGGGAAGATGAAAAAGGAGTTAATATTATATTTGGATATGTAATAATGAAACACCTTTATATGTTGATACTAATTGAGAATTTAGAGAAAAAAATATATGTCCTCATATAGAATTATAATCAATGAAGCAGTTGTTAGAGGTATCAAACCAGACATCTGAACTAAAATTAAGAAGATTTATGTAGGAAATATTCCCAAACCTTAATTTGTTGAAGTCTTGGTTCCCAGTGCAACAACGTTCAGAGGTGAAACTTTTGAAAAGTATTTGGGTTCTGAGGGCTCTGCAGCACAGGATTACTCTATTGATAGGTCCATAATTTGACCAGTAAAGTAAAAGAAATTTAGAAGGTGAGGTCTTGAGGGGAGGCATTCCTTAGGGGAATCACCTTGGGAATTACATCTTATCCTGTCCCCAACCAAATGAACATGAATTAAGATTGAGCCAAAATCTTCCCTCCTTCAAAATGTATTTATTCTTTTGTCACAGCACCAGAAACCTGATGTAATTCAGTGTTCTCATAATGAATTAAATGTGTCCAAATGTTTAAGATCTATTTTGAATCGCCTTAGTAATAAGTACTACAAGAAAGGTGTGATTCATCCCTATTGCATATACCTAGAATGACTAAAAGTGATTTTTTTTTTGTCCTTCCACCCTTTTAATTCTAAAAGTTTCTCAGAATAAAGCTAAAGGTGTACCACAGTGATCTCAATGTGGGCATAATACCTGAAAAGCCCTGTGTTATTGAAAAATGAAGATGAGCTTAGGAACCATACAAACTTAGACTTAAATTCTGCCACTTGTCCCCTAAGAAAAGCTTAAAGCTTCAATCAGCCTCAGTTTTCTCATTTATAAAGTAAATATCTGCCTTATGAATTTTACTACTTCTGAAGTACATTTAGAAAGCATTTGCTGGGGGCTGGGAAGGTGGCTCAGTGGTAGAGTGCTTGTCTTGCATGCACTCTAGGTTCGATTCCTCAGCACCACGTAAGCAAAAAGAAAAAAGCCAGAAGTGGTGCTGTGGCTCAAGTGGTAGAGCGCTAGCCTTGAGCTGAAGAGATGAGGGACAGCGCCCAGGCCCAGAGTTCAGGCCCCACGACCAGGCCCAAAAAAAATAAAAAGTAAAAAATTGAAAGCATTTGCTAAATTGTAGCATTGAAGTAAATGGGGGCTGGGGAGGGAGTTCACTGGTTATGTGCCTGACTAGAATACACAAAACACTGGGTTCAATCCTCAGCACAATCAATCAATAGGATAAGTCAGTATTTGGTTACAATTACATGGGCAAGATAATGAGTAGAAATATTTATTTTAATCTAGTGCCAAGATTTAAATTTCTAGCTTTGAGCCCAAAGCAATGTATTCATCATGTTTAATTTTTTTTTTTTTTTATGTCTGTGGGTCTCATGCTTGCTAGGTAGGCATTCTGGTGAGCCATATATTTAGATCTTTTGTTTTGGTTATGCATTAGATAGTGTCTCACTTCCTGCCCAGGTGAATGCTTGAGCCACAATCTTCATGGCTTCCCATCATAGCTAAGATGACAGGCTCATACCATCACAACCAGCTTGTTCCATTGAAATAAAGTCTTAAGAACTTTCCTGGCTGGCTTAGGATCATGATCCTCCCATTCTCAGCCTCCCAAGTACATAAGATGACAGCACATAAGATATGTGACTCTCAACATCTCTGTGTGTGAGTGTGTGTGTGTGTATTGGCTTAAACTCAGGGCCTCACATTCTCGGTTTGTTTACTCACAGTAGTTCTACCACTTGAGCCATGCTGCTAGTCCAGCATTTTGCTAGTTAATTGGAGAAAGAATCTCAAAGACTTTTCTGCCCAGTGAAAGACCCTAGTCCCCTAGGATACTTTCGTCAACGGGAGGGCGCCCCAGAAACTCAGACTCCAGGCCAGGAGATGCAACAAGCAAGAGGAGTTTATTTGACGTTTGTGCAAACGGACTCTCTGCCTCTTGGAAGGGAGAGAGTCCCGAGCAGCGGTTACAAGCCTTTTGAAAGGCAAAAACCATAAGATTAAGGCATAACACAAAGCGTCCCATGATTGGTCCGTTTAAAGGTCACCATATACACCAACAATCACTTTGCCACGTGGGAAATTTGGTAACACTCTTTGTAAAATGATGGGCGCAGTACAAAGCGGGGGGGGGGGGGGGGGGGGGGACTGGGGCTAATAATTGGTCAGGCTAGCTAGTTATTGTGCTCTAAACTAATTAGAGGGTACTTCTAAGGTAATTTAGGAGAAGTGGTTGCCAGATAGTCACTATCTCTGACCCTGACCAGGGGGAAGTAGTTGCCAAGCAGCCAGGAATGTGTCAGGTTCTTTGTCAGGTACTCCCTGCCAGAGGGTCGTTAATTTCAAGGTCCCACTGTTAGGGGAGTTCACATCCACTAGTCCTGCCAGATGGTCATTATCTCGGGGTCCCATTTGGGGAATTCCTGAACAGGGACTAAAAAGAAAACGTACTTGTTTGTTCTTTATTTATGACCACAGACCTTGTCCTGGGGCTAATATCTGGACTCTGAGATTTTTACCCAATTCCTTATTTCCAGGGAGGGGGTTGGTGCTAGTGCAAGCAAGTTTACAAAAGCAAAATCAGCAGTTAGCAATTGTAAAATGTAACTCTAATTTTTAATCTTTCAATACCTTCAAATTAACTTGAAATGATGAGGCACCTAACTATACATGTTAATATTACAAAACTCCTAAAAGTAGAGATAACAAAGGGTGAGGTCCTAAGTAAGATGAGTTGGGAAAGTGACTTAGTGGTAGAGTGCTACCTAGCACTCATGAAACCCTGGGTTTGATTCCTCAGTACCACATAAACAGAAAAGGCCAGAAGTGGCGCTGTGGCTGAAGTGTTAGAGTTCTATCCTTGAGCAAAAGAAGCTTAGGGACAGTGCCCAGGCCCTGACCTCAAGCCCCAGGACTAGTAAAAACAAAACACAAAGATAGGATTACAGATACAAACTAACGATGCCAACTCAATCTTTTGGAAGTGAACCATTCAGTACCATATATTCACATTACCTTGCAACCAATCTCCAGAACATTTTTATCTTGCAAAACTGAATAGCCATTAAATCATTCCCTAATCTTCCCTCTCCAGGGTACCTGGTAACCTAGTTCTTTTGCCTCTGAATTTGACTGGTACACTTTTTTTTTTTTTTTTTGTCATTTGTGGGGCTTGAACTCTGGGCTTGGGCACTGTCCCTGTGCTCTTCAGCTCAAGGCAAGCGCTCTACCACTTTAGCCAAAGTGCCACTTCTGGTTTTCTAGTGGTTATAGATAAGAATCTCAGACATTCCTGCCTGGGCTGGCTTTCAACCATGATCCTCAGATCTCAGCCTCCTGAGTAGCTAGGATTACAGGCGTGAGCCACCAGCACCCGGCTTGACTAGTACTCTTACAGGAATTATGCAGTATTCTTTTTTTTTTTTTTTTTTTGGGTCCGGTCGTGGGGCCTGAACTCTGAGCCTGGGCGCTACCCCTTAGCTCTTCAGCTCAAGGCTAGTGCTCTACCACTTGAGCCACAGCGCCACTTCTGGCTTTTTTTCTTTTTGCTTATGTGGTGCTGGGGAATCGAACCCAGGGCCTCATGCATGCAAGGCAAGCACTCTACCACTGAGCCACCTTCCCAGCCCAGGAATTATGCAGTATTCTGTGGCTGATTTATGTCACTTGGCCTAATGTTCTCAGGATTCATTCATCTTGTAGTGTTTTCAAGGTTGAGTAACTTGGTATTGTGTATCCTGTGTCATGCCATTGACGGGACACTTGGATTGCTTCCTCTTGGCTGGTATGAATAATGCTGCTGTAAATATAGTTATACAAATATATCTTAGAGATCCTATTTTCAGTTTTTTTGGGGGGAGATCCCTAGAAGTGGGATTACTGAGTCAGTAATCTGGAGGAGTGATCCTTTTGTCCCTATTAGCCACACAATATTACATTCCCACCAGTGGTTCCCAAGATTAGTTTCTCCATATCCTGTCCAGTTCTTTTCTTGCTTCCTTTTGCTTAGTTTAAGGTTTGGATTGTTAAAATAGTAGACATCCTAATGGATATGTGTTACCTCATGGTGGCTTTTGTTTGCATTTCCCTTATTATATCAAGCCATTTATTGGCTGTTGTATAATTCCTTTTTTATTTAATTTTTGCCTGTCCTGGGGATTGAACTCAGTGTCTGGGCTTTGTCCCTAAGCCTCTCTGTGCTCAAGACTAGTGTTCTGAAGCCGGGCGC